TGGAAGGCTGAGTCAACCCTGAGCCGGTGAGATTTGAACCGCTGAACTGCTGATCTAGCAGTAGCCTGCAGTGCTGCATTAACCACTGCGCCACCTTGGGCATATGAGGTTGAATTAAACCTTCTGTTTTCTTCTGAAACTTCTCTTTTCTTGGATTTATCCATGGTTGGCCTACCGGAGATTGAAAAGCTCAATAAATTGTGTGCTTGTGGGTATCACGCATTGGCGGTTGTGACGCATATTTTGAGCGATGGAGCCGCAGCAGAGGGCTCCATGAAGCTTCAGAGCCACGGGTTACTGACCCCTGTACTTGTGGTTATTGCAGTCTACATTGTATGTTGTAGATCAGTGCCCCCTTCCAACATGGACCTGTTCTGTGGAGAGAAAAGGGGGCGTGTGTCATGTGCTGCCTGCATCCCATGGATGAGGCTTCGCTAGTTTGCATTTCTCAGTTTCTGGCATGCTGCGGACCAGGGGTCTGAGATCCCTATTGTAGATGACTCCTTTTTTTCTGGGGTTGTTTATTGTTCTTTTGGTCTGTTTAGGATGTTTTGAAGGGCTCTAGCTGGCTTGTGTGCTATGCTGATTCCATGTGGTTGTAGTCTGTTAGTGGTTTCTGAGATATTTTTTGATGCATGGCAGTGTATTTCTTTTTAGGATTTGTGTTGGTTGTGCTCCAAAGATGCTTTTTCAAATGGGCAGCTGAAGAAGCTTCTTGGATGAGAAAGCAAAACAGCTTCAGAGAAAAACAAAGTCCAGGTTGAAAAAACATCTTTGGGACAGCTATGACCTGGATGACTGACAATCTCCATAGGCATTGGTTATGCTGTATTTGGTTTGAGTGGTCAGGGACTTTTTGATAAAAGTTACATAGATATCCATTTTGTTGGAATATGTTATTACAGATGCCCTTTTTCTGCTGTTCTGGGTTGCTGCAGTGTGTTTAGGCTCATCTGAATAAAGTTCTTATGCAGTTTCTCTTATGGGAGGTTGGGTTGGCAGCCCCCAAGCCTCTCTAGGAGCCCCAGATGGTAGTTCCTCCCAAAGGAGGTACCCCAGCATCCTCCTCCTAATGCTACCACTAATATGAAGTCCCTGATTAATCTTCCTCCATGGTATCCACCACACTGAATGTATCCTTTTTAAATTAACCAAATGCTCCAAATAGAATCTTGCATTGTAGGGAAGTTGCTTTGCATTTTTTAATTATAGGATGGGATGGGATGAGATGGAATGCTTCATTGGCGAAGTGTGATTGGACACACAAGGAATTCATCTTTGGTGTATATGCTCTCAGTGTACATAAAAAAACAAGATATATTCATCAATGTAACTGTCAGCGTTCCAAATATCATGTAGAATCAAATCAGAATCGAAGGCAAAACTATGCTTAAAGTTCCAATTTAATAAAGCAG